AGAGAAACTATCAAAAGTTACTGCCAACTTTGCAGTATCTCGGGCCGACTCCAACAAGCACATCTATTTGATCGACCTTCTTCCACGACCTCCAGCGAAGATCGGAGAACCTCCAGCTGCAGGCATGGAAACACCATGAAACACCACCATAAATACCTGGGCTTGGTCATGCTTCCTGTTTTCTTATTTTTGTGCATGTTGCATCGCGTTGCCAATTGTAATTGATGTATGGCCAAATTATTTGCAGTATGTCAAACTGCGTTCATCTGGCAGGCGCCAAGAGAGGACTGTTTGAGCTTGGGTATGCCTTGAAGTCCATGACCGATGCGAACCAGGGAATACCCCCCATTTGTGCTTCCTTTGACGGTGGCGGGGGAAACCACCAGTGCAATGCGGCCCTATTGGGAGTTCTTCCGTCTGGGATGATGAAAGACGCTCCCTTCTTCAGCGACTGCAGAAAGATTCCATTGGACTTGCCAATGTGGCCATATTCTGCCATAAAATTTCAGGGCAAGTATTTCATCAGCGGCTGTAATGACTGCAACCATGTGATGAAGCGATATGCTTTCCACCTGTCAAGTGGCACACGAATGGCTTCAATGGGATCTGCAATCTGCAACCTCACTCCCATGATTGTTGGTGGACTGTCCGTGCGTGCATTGTCGGCCAAAGATATACAGAGCGATGCTGACATGTCAAGGAAGATGAACTCCGCGCACATTCCAAGAGATTGGCGAGGACTTGGCTGTGCGCCCGCCCACTTCATCAATGGACTTCTGACATCAGCATGGACAGCCTGTGAAGCATTCAGCTTCAAAGAGAGTGTTGCCAATGCTTTGATGGCCTTTTATGTCCTCCTTGGCCAGGCGTCAGAGGCTTGTCGCCAACATGGGAAGAAATGGCCATTGCACTTTGTTCCGATACAGACACTGAGGAACATGTGTGACCTTGCTGGACACCTAGTGCTTGCGGCTGCTCATTGGCCTTCGGATTTGCCATGGAGCCCGAAAAGTCGGCAAGAGTCTCCCATTGAGGGGATGTTTGGTCGCATGAAAGCAGGAACTCGTGGATCAGCCACGTTGAAGGACTTCCTGTATGGCTGTCACTTTGACCACCTCAAGCAGCATCGGCAATCGGCCATGTGGGACAAGTTCGAAAACAACCGTTTCGCAGGCAGCTTGACTTCTGAGGAGCTTCAGGCAATGGCAGGGGGGGCGCTGAAAGATGCTTGCCAGTTCTTGTCCTGGATTTCCGACAGCAGGACAAGTGGGGACATTGAGCAGGATTTGCAGATGTGGTGGCAGAAGATAGGGATGAGGCTGTTGAAGGAACGAGGAGCTGATTTTTCATCGTCGACTGATGAGGGGGAACCGGAACATTGTTATGGAGAAGACTTTGACCCAATCTTTGAGGATGCTCAGCTGGATGGGGAAGACCTAGCTGATGGAGAAGTTGATTTGTCAAAGAGCTGGCGAGATGGCATTGGTGTCATGGACAATGAGCCTGATGAAGACTGTGAGTCTCTTCTCCAGAACTTGGAATCCCGGCGGCATGTGGTGGAAGAAATCCAAAAGATTTCAGCCATCGAGGATGCATCAAAGCAGTCAGACTCAGCCCAAGCTGCTCAGTTGCCAACAGCTGCACCGCAGACAATGTCCTCCGTTTCTGTTGCAGAACAACCTCATGAATCGGAGACGCCGCAGGTCAGGTATGGCTCCTTTGTCTCTGTCCAGGCAGCTGTAGCTGGCGACCAGCGCTTTGTGGAGGGCTCAAAGGAATATGTCGGCAAGAATGCCTGCATCTATCGGCTTGAAAAGCTTTTTCCCCCTTTGACAACCTTTGTCAAGAAGGTTCGCTTGGCTGAAGGATTGCTGTCAGAAACTCAGTTCTTGCTCACCGCTCTGCTTTGCATGCTCAGAAACATGCAGCAGAGAAAATGTAAGATAATGTAAGCTGCGCTTCTGGGGGTGTGGAAAGCGTCGCACCACAGTGGTTTTCTTTGCACACAGGTTGGGGGTCAGCTCAGAAACACGCAGCAGAGAAAATGTAAGATAATGTAAGCTGTGCTTCTTGGGGTGTGGAAAGAGTCGCACCACAGTGGTTTTCTTTGCAGGTCGGGGGTCAGTAAGAAATAGTAAGATATTTATAGTAAGAAGGAGATGGCCCTACAAAGGATGAGAGAGAGGTTGCAAAGAAAGTTCACTTTTGGTAGATGTAGATTAGCTTTAAACTTTGGTTCTCTTCCACTGTTTTGCTTACACGACATTCCCAGCTTACATTTTGTGCACGAGCATATGCCAACCCTCAAAATTAGAAGCGTGCGGAAGGCCTTGTTGCTATTTGAGGCCATTTTTCTAGCATTTGCTACAGTGGTTGCATCATATTGCATCTGATTGCAACATATGGCCACACTTTCTGTTTGAGGTAGTTTGCCAGCTTACATTTTTGTGTGTGTTTCCTGAGCAGTTCAACCTTTTGTGCATCAGGTCCAAGACACAGGTTGAGGGCAATGTGCGAGCGAATGAAAACCTCCACAATATCCTTGTATCTGAGCTGCATCGTGCTCGGCAGTTTCAAAAGTTCACAGCTGCCCGTAGCTCACGAATGTTCGGGTGGATGTCAGCACAGGAAACATTTCTGAATAGCAAGGACAAGGGTGCGTCCAAGGAAGATGCTGAGGGGTCTTTGCTGCCCAGCTCCGTGATGCGTCCAATTTGCAGTGATCATCAGCAAGTTCTTCTCTTTCAGGAGAAGAATGATGGCGGCATCATCACATACGAGTTGGGCGTGGTGTTCAGTGTGTTTCGCGGGTCAGTTTCCAAGGCAGCTTCGACACCAAGGAGGCTGAAGGTGTCTGTGACTTTGGGCATCAACGCACCAGTTGATGCAGTTGCGAGGGTGCTTGTGTTGAAGCTTGAGAAGATTGACGATGCAGGGGGCAACTTTGCTGTTTCAGTCATCTCCACTCCTTCGTTGCTGGTTCCGTCAGAGTGTGTTGTTTGCGAAGTTCCGTTTGCAGAGTATGGCGAAAAGCATGGCAAGATGTTCTTCAACTTCTCGGAAGCCACCATGAAGAAGGTCAGGGACATCCAAGATGGCAAAACGACTGCCAGCGAGATCTTTTCCGTTCAGACTGCAAAGAAGTCTCAGGTACCAAAGGCCCATGAACCCATCTCATATGATGGTTTTGATATGGGAAGCTTCCCGAAGGGACCAGCTGGCTCCAAGAACATCAAGCTGTTCTTGAAGCGTTTGCCAGAAGTGTATGGCCCGCTGAATCTCCTCAATGCGGACGGACTCTTCAAAGTTGGCGGCTCCTTGCACACTTGAGATAGCATTTGCACCAGGTCTTGCCTGTGGTTTGATACCATCATGGATGGGAAGGACAAGAAGAACTTCTCCAACGGTGTGTACCACAAGTTGGCCCAGCTTTCCGGCAGATTTGATTTCCGAATATTTCCGACTTTTACAACCATTTCCAACCTTATGTTTGATTTTGTTTCCAGGATTTCCATGTCGAAAATGTAACTTAGATGTGTTTGTGTGTTCTTTCTATTCGCCACATAGCAGTGCGAGGTTTGTACCAGGACGTGGCAAGAACAAGTCAGGCCAAGACATTGGCCTGATGGAGTTGAAGAGTTTCATCCGGCAAGTAATTCACTTGATCCCGCCAGTGTTGCTGGAGGTTCCTGTTGGAGGACCTGCGCCAGCAGATTAATTGGGAAATGACATGGAACTGTTCCATGGAGTGACCAGAGATGGTCTTCAGAACATAGAGCAATGGCTTTAGCAGACGCTTGAAGGGACCGGGGTCGCGCCTGCAGGAAAAGAGACGTGTTTAGTGTCATTTGCTGATATTTGCTGCTATTTGCAGTAGTTTTCAGTGCATGCTTAGCTCACATTGTGTCTGTGCATGCGTTTCCACACATCCCAAATAGTAACTTACATTTTCTTAGATAAATGTAACTTCACTGGTTCTTCTGGTGCATTTCCTGGGTACACGCCAGCCAAAAAAATGTAACTTACAATAAAAAGGTCTACACCCCGAAAATGTAACGTTACATTTTTTGGGTGGCCAACCTATGGAAAATGCAAGTTACAATAAAAAGGTCCCCCCCTTCATGGGGGTGGGGATGACGCGACTAGTAACAAAGGGCATCGCCACTAGTAGCAAGGACGCTACTAGTAGCTCCTGGCCCTACTACTAGGAATAAAACGCTACTAGTAACAAAGGGCATCGCCACTAGTAGCAAGGCCGCTACCAGTAGCTCCTGGCCCTACTACTAGGAATAAGACGCTACTAGTAACAAAGGGCATCGCCACTAGTAGCAAGGCCGCTACCAGTAGCTCCTGGCCGTACTACTAGGAATAAGACGCTACTAGTAACAAAGGGCATCGCCACTAGTAGCAAGGCCGCTACCAGTAGCTCCTGGCCGTACTACTAGGAACAAGAAGCTACTATGTCCTTACTACTAGGAACACGAAGGTGCCAGGAACAAAGGGCATCGCCTTAGTAGCAAGGACGCTACTAGTAGCTCCTGGCCTTACTACTAGGAACAAGAAGCTACTAGTAACAAAGGGCGTCGCTACTAGAAGCAAGGACACTACTAGTAGCTCCTGGCCTTACTACTGGGAACAAGAAGCTACTAGTAACAAAGGGCATCTACTAGAAGCAAGGACACTACTAGTAGCTCCTGGCCTTACTACTAGGAACAAGAAGCTACTAGTAACAAAGGGCATCGCTACTAGAAGCAAGGACACTACTAGTAGCTCTTGGCCTTTCTACTGGGAACGAGAAGCTACTAGTAACAAAGGGCATCGCTACTAGAAGCAAGAACACT